GGCCTCCACGAACTTCGTCCTCTCATCCCGTCTCCAAGTCGCTCCATCTACACTTTCCAGGACAGGAAATATGGCATCTTGGGTCAAGCTCTTTACACACAGGCTAGGGGAAACAAATCCAAAGCAAATACCAATTTATGTATTCAAATAACAAACAAATCGGAACTCTTTTGGGTCGAGTCGACTCCGATGTCGACCCAGATGAAACGCCATAACTCAAACGCTGCTCAACATTCCAAAAACAATTTGATGCCGCTTAGTCAAATGCAATCCACCTTCCAAGGCTCATCATCTCAGAGCTTCCAAACAGACAGTCTTCTTTTTATTTTTGGCTTTCGCCATCCAATTTTGCAAGAGGGATTAGACAGACCCTGAGGACTTCATGCGAAGATTCTCCACAATGGTAGAGGTATCTGACGCCGAAGCTGATGGGCTGGCAACCACTTTAGTTCTGAGTGCACCGCGGATATCCTCGACGCTTCTCTCCTTCCAGTCAGGGTATCCCATCTGGCTAAGAGGGAAGAGAACGAGATTGTCGGCACGTTCCATGAAATCATCGACGTTCGGGCGCGGCGTGGCACTAATGATATCGATCTCCACGGCAATCTGACGGCAGTAAGAGTCCAGGGGAAGATCGTTCACGTCCAGGCCAAAGGGGTTTTCGATTTCACTGCCGATTGTAGCCAAGCCGAGGATGATGTAGGCGGCCACTTAAAAGGATGTTAGCATTTGCCGTGCTTGTTTATTCAGAAAAGATGAGAATTACCAATTGAAGCGGGGATGGTGATATACTCCAAAGCAGTGTACAGCTGGAATGGAAGAACCAGGATATAGATCCATGCGATCTGAGAGATGGCAATACAGTACGCTGTTGGCAGAGGGGTGTCCAGAACACGCTCTGTGCCAGTCAATACTTCGTTCAAGGTGGCCATCATGGTGACTGTGTTTATGTCAGACTTGGGTCAGCTCAACGAACAAGGATGGGCACTTACTGGCTTGGCCCTGGTGCAGGGCTGATGTAAGGGTACCATTGGCAACACACGAGTCGATATATGCGGACAGATGGTTAAGAATCTCCAAGGGAAGATGTCCCACGGGCTTTTTTGACCGCTTAACCAACTTGCGAGGGTTCGACTCGGCGAAAGACACGCCAAGATACTCACCCACCGACTTCCAAATAGACTTGGCACGAGGGTTGACAACCGTCCGGTCGTGGGCGTCGCGGGCAAAGGTATCCAAATGTCCGGCAAGGCCAGCCAGATCCTCGTAAGCAATATCTGGCTCGAATCGAAGCTTGTGCTTCAGGGCGACGGCAAAGGCCAAAATGAGATTCATGGCAGAGCTATCCGCTTGTCAGCACGACATTCAGAGTCCAGTTCGAGGTTGCCATACAGTTTTCTCAGGAGGTCGTCTTTTCCTTCTTCGCCTTCCCTTTCGCCGGTGTTGATCCAAATTGTTCGTGAAAGGTTGCGAGATGTCTGAATGAGCTGAGACCAGTACTTGCGTCCATCCGCCCATCTATTGTTCGAATTGAGTCAATGGATTTCGCCAGTCGTCCCACGATGGAGATATCATACCTCTCATATGCAGTCGAGCTGCGGAACGACAAAGCCAGACCCACCACGAAACCCAGCACGGTGAGCAGGATATTGTTGATGCCAACTATTTGAGCAGTCAGAAACTCTGGTAATCGAGTTGAATGTCCGGAAGTCCTTACGAGAGTGAACATGTTTGGAGATCAAGGTAATGAGGGTCGACCAAGCAGCAACAAAGACCAGCGGCAGGATCATCTTCGGCATGACACTACCGTGCATCCGCATGAAGACCGGCCACTTGGAGTGCTTGTCCATATTGCGAGGGCCATGCTATTACACAAGATCTGTCAGTTCATGTACCACATCGCGGCTTGTATGAAGGTCCCGCAGTCCCCGCATGACAAACGTACAAAGTATCGATCCAGTTCACTGGAGTCCCGTCGATCGAGCTTGAATTGCGAATCTCGCGAGTTGGCCAAATGTTCTAGAAATGTTGGCCGTGGAGTCAGACGGCCCACCGAGGAGCCCTGCTCCTTCTCGTGCGATGGGGCCGTATCATGGTGGTGAACAGCATGCGAGCGTACGTCGGCTGGTACGGGTGCGGCAGCATTGTCGGCCACTGCAGCTGCTGCAGGGGCGTCGGCCATGGGAGCACTATGGCCGTCGGTCATGGTGGGTGAATGGAAGATCAGTTGGTTAAAAAAATCGACAATAAAAAAAATAAAATAAAATAATAAAGAATGGAGGTAAATGGGTTCGGAGCCGGGCCGATATAGTTAACGAATGTATAATGGAAGACAACAGCAAGGAAATAACTAAAGCGAAAGAAAAGGATAGACAAAAGACAAATGCTGGAACGAAAGGAAATATCGCAACTGAAGAAGAAAAGGGCGAAAATTGAAACACGGGCTTGCCAGGGGGCGTTTCATCGAATTCTAGACCACGCCAATAGTGGAGTCGGCGGACACGTCCGCACGTTTAAATTTAGCCCAGGCGAAATCTTTTTTTATATTTTATTCTCCTACTCTCTGCCTACCTAAGCTCCACCGGGAATTTCTCACGAATAGCTTGCCCATACCGTGAGAATACTATTGGCACAGGAATAAAGGCCACAGCCACGAAGCCCAAGAGCGAATTCCCCCATCCAAGCCCTAAAGTTTGGAACATTTGTGGCCCCGCCAGAGGGAGCAGTGCGCCCACCAATGACCGGCTGGCAGTTAGGGTGGCGTTGGCTGACGCCGCATAGCCAGGGTAGCAGTCAATGACATACGTCTGAATGGGCAAGTAAATGCCCATCATGCCGAAACTAAAGGGCACCGTTCCGATGATCGGGACGATCCAATGAACATGTTTTTCTGCAGCCCAGCCATACCAGAAGAAACTAATAGGCAGGAAACAAGCGAAGAACATCATCATTGGTAGTCGCATCTCCGGTTGGAATTTACCTCCGTTCTGCTGTGTCAGTTTGACAACGAGCCGGTCGTTAGTGGATGCAACCAGACCCATCCCCAGGAAAAGCCCAACCCCTATCCCCACAAATGCCAACCCTGACAGACCGGTGGAGAATCCATACTGACCCCTGAATACGGTCGGGATTGTTGTGAAGAACAGGTATAGAAGACCATATGCGAGGGCCATATAAGTGGAGAGCAGAAACACGATGGGCGACTTGCAGAACAAGAGGACTGGTCGCGTCAATCCGAACCTGAGCTCTGTCATAACCGAGACATCCTCTCCGTCCGGTGCGTAAGCACTACGGAGATCGGGACGACCTAACTCCTTGGCAAGTCGCTCAGTCTTCCATCGTATCAGAACAGAGGCATATGTCTCTCGATTCAAGACTTCAATTCCGGCCGATACAACGGCAGAGATCATCAACAGCACCCAAAAGACCCATCGCCAGCCAATTGTCTCACCAATGAAGCCCCCTGCGATAGGACCCACCACCGGGCCGATCATTGGACCAGAGCTCCAAATAGCAGTCGCTAAGCCTCGTTGTTCGATGGGGAAGAGGTCTGCAATGACACCCGCCCCAAGTGTTAGGCATGCTGATCCACCGATGCCAGCGAAGAACCGGAAGATGATCAGAGAGGTCAAGTTGGGTGCGAGTGCACATCCGATTTGCCAGACGACGAACCACCAATTTCCACAGCTGAGTATGATTCGACGCCCGTAAACCTCGCTCAAGGGTGCCAATGCCAATGGACCGAACTGTTATATGGGACTCGAAATTAGTCCCTGTGCCTTGGATGTCCGTTGTTAGACTTACTGCATAGCCCAAAATATAGATGCTGATGCTAAATGATAGCAGTGTCTCATTCGTCACACCCAGATCAACTGCGACATAGCTCACAGATGGCGAGAACATGCTTGATGCAAGAGGAGACACAAAGGTGATAGCGCTTGTCAAAGCCAATAGGCCCCATTTTCGAGAAGCCGCGAAATTCTGGGGATTGTGGGGGTCGTCTTGTCCATCCCAGCCAACTATGCCTCGGCTGAGGTCTGTTTCTGGATATTTCTTCGGGGGCTGAAGAGCTGACTCGGGGTCATCTTTGTTAAATTCAGTAGCAATTACTTCTCCCGGTTGATTTTCTTCCTTTGAGTCTGCAATGCTCTTCTCAGATGGTGTCTCGGCTATGGTGGCTCCCATAGTTTAATTGCTCAAAGCAGAGTCAATCATTAAGGAACACAAGCTGCGAACACGGACAGAGAAACAAAACGGGATTCCAAAAAACTGCGATTTCGATGAACGAACAATACCAGGAAAGAATGGTGATCAGTTGCCAGAGGAGATCCAGGATGGCGTATTCAACGCTTTATTAAAGCCATAGTTAGCATAAGACCCCTATGGAAATAATCCTACGAAACCGGTGCATAAGCGCATCATAGTTGCATGTTAAGTCTTGTTCTTTATGCACTAAGTTACCTCTGTCCTCCTACCGTTTGGATCCCCCGCATTCGTTCCATGGTTGTCTAGTCCGGCCCCACTACTTTATCACAACAGTCCAATCACATCTTTACATTTACTTGGAATGCATCGGCACTGTGCCGGTTACCCGAGATCTCTTATCCTAGTTATAGACACTGTCTTGCTCTCCAGGGCTATAGAAATATTGGCTGAAGTGTAGCATCTATTATGTAGGTGGAAAGAGTGGATGGATCGCTTGACATGGTCTAGTCAGATATACTTCGGATAGTTTCAAGATCTCGAACACAATCGTAAGAATCACTTTAGTTGGATGAACTGGGTTTTGACAAAAAAGGGAAGAATGGTTTATTAAAGTAAGCGCAAAACATGGTGGTATGGATCGCAACGTTCGCCCACGGACAGCATAGTGTATGGATTCTCCGTCTTCTATTTCTTAGGTACGTCGCAGACGTGGCGAAAGACGCAATAATTTATACCATACTAAATTGACCAATCTGAATTGGAGTTCCTTTTTTTTTTTCTGTTCATATCTATTTCTATAACCGCGATGTTGTTGACCGGAGCTTGTTCTGACAGGCCTCGAGACCAGATGGCCCATTGTAAATTTGTTGTTCCACCAACCGAGTATTGATCTAAGGAGATTCGTTAGTTATAGCCCTTATTTTAAAGGAGACGTAGGTGCTAGTTCCAAGGTGAGATGTGGGCTTACATGTTGCCTTCCAAGCGCATTGACATTCTGTACGCCAAGTAGTCGCATGCATGTCTTGGTCTCATCCGTGAGAACTAAACCGGGTTATTAGCAAACTCAAAATTCCTCGAAAACATTCTAATAGTTCCATACTCTGTAGCGTCCTCTTTACACCTTCTACGCCTCCAGCTCCTAATCCCCAAAGTGCGGCTCTTCCAATGCCGACACCTCTTGCGCCTAGGCAAATCGCTTTAACAACATCAGTCCCCCGCTTGATACCGCCATCGACCCAGACATCAAGCTTGTCAAATACTTCGGGGCAGTACTTTCGAATCTCAAGCAGGGTGTGCACAGCGGGAGGGGCTGTATCAAGTGATCGACCGCCGTGGTTTGAAAGAATGATCCCCTTTACTTGAGGCGCATATGATGTGGCAATATAAGCATCTTCGTGGGTCTGAACCCCCTTGAGAACGACTGGCAATGCGGTGTGCCTCTCCAGCCATGACAAAGTCTCTTTCCACGTGAGAGTAGGATCTAGGCCCGTAAAGGTTTGATCTTCCGTTGGCTTAGTGGGCCGAGAAGAATCATTTCCATCAACTACTTGGTACACAGCTTCCGTCGAGCTTGATTCCACCATAGTGTTGAGGATATTGCCACTGCGCTCGTCGTCTTCTCTTTTCCCGGTAACCGGAGAATCAAGCGTCAGTGCAACAAACTTGATTGCACTGAGCTTATTGATTCGAGCTAGCATCCGTTCACTCTTGCTTCGGTCATCTTGCACATACAGCTGCCACCCGAATACTTGATCCGGGGCCGCATTTGCAACAATCTGCTCCGGGGCCATAGAAGCATTGTTCGAAATAATTTGCATCGCCCCAAAGCTGCGACAGGCCTCTGCGATACCAGCTTCGCCTGAGGGATGCCCTAGGCGGGCCATGGCTGCCGGGGATACATAAATTGGGATAGACACCTTGTTGCTTAACAGCTCAGTGTTCAGATTACATTCTGTGCAATCTATGAATGTCCTTGGTCTCAGTTGAATAGAGCGGAAGGCCTCTGAGTTGAGGCGCTTGCTGATCTTGTCGTCGGATGCGGAATAATAATATGCCCACGCCTTTTTGCTCACGTTTCTGGTGGCGACATCTTCAATTTCATCTAGGTTGAGCAGGTTCTCCATCGGAGGGTTATGGTCAGTCATGCTGAGCGGTGTTTGGAAAAGAAGAGGGGTGGTGAGCAACGGGTGTGAGTTGGAGCATTGTCTGTGTCGGATATCCTTGCCTTTCTAGGACTAGTGTGGTGTTTTCCTGCACCACGGTCCCCTACGGTGCCACTTCATACTCCGTACCTAGATATCAATTGAGGATTCCGACATACATCATTGAACCGAGTAAGCTCAATGTGTGCAAGCTGACAGCCAATATTGCCTGCTTTATTTGCTCTTTTCCCCCATGCTCCTCACAAGAATATCTACATTGGGCAGAAAAGCTGCTGGAAGGAAACCCATTCTCATCCCGCAGTCAGTCTGATTCTCGACGTGTTGAAAGACGTTCAGCAAGAACTACTAAATGTATTATCGAGCTTTGATCAGAGGAAGCTTCCTATGAAGTCCCTTGCCGCAATCGTGCTTGACAACACTGGAGTGCTCTCAGATTCATTGAATCATGCCGCTCAATATCCCCATGCCTCTTTGATCTTTCAACCAGGGTACTAGACCACACAGCAGGATTCAAGTATCTCTAGGATATTGAGCCTGGGGGGACGAATAATTCTACCTAGAGATATAGGGAGAACTAGAGGAGTGTAGGCACGATTTCAAATTACAACGAGCCCTTGGTCTAGACTTGAGTCTATTGGGGTGATAAATGTAACCAATTAGTGAAACTGGACTCTTTTATTCATATGCTACCATGCTTTATAGGTGCCGATTGAGATATTTCTTTAGAGACCATTTTTGCATGGAGAATGTGTAAGTCGGCTATTTCCTCACGGCCAAAAAATAGACGCGACTGAAGAATTAGACCAGTAAGCGCTAGTCTAATCTCTGGTGCAAGTATCCTCTCTAGTGATACGTTTTGCGACTCCATATTATTAGTGCTAGACGCCAGCCAATATTGAGAGCTTATATGTGATGGGATTCAGGATTCGTTTGCGGTGTCAAGCTTGTATATGAAGTAAATTAGGTTCTCTTAAGCCAACTTTACTTTTGTATGTCTCAAATTTGAGGGTGGCTTGATAAAACACGGGGATCTCCAAGGACAAAGGGCGAGATCTCGGTGCATCTGTAAACTTTCTTTGGCTCAGTGCCTCGAATCAACCCTACAGATGCAAGGATCCAGAATTAGAGTCCTTTGGTGTCTGTAGTCGACTATCAAGTAAAATAATTCCCGCAGGCAAATGTCTTGGGTCACATTAAGGTTATGGTTGTGCTCAAAAAGCTTCCCAAATTACCATGGATGTGGTCAGGGTCACGGGATCAATGGTCTTAAATTTGAGCACTTTATTAATCATTTTCGGATTTCCATTGTTCCAGATACATCTATGATTAACGTTAACAGACGTGCTAAACTTTGCATGAGAGAGATAAGGTTGCCGATTTAGAGTATTTATATGATGAGTTGGGCCAGACTACGTCGTACCGGGGAAAGGAATAGACATTGAAGCTTACTTAGGTATCTTCTCCGGGCGCTATTGAAGATCCCGATCGACAACAATCTCAGAGCTAATTCCGTCCGACCGGTATAGATCCCCTTACTGCGACATGGCCAGTTTCATGCTCCTGCTTCGTGATTTGGTCTCAATTTTGGGCAGGGTCCGGATCTACGTACCGATAGCGGTAGGTCCATTCAATTTCCCGGGTATTTTTGTGCAAGATCAAAGTTAATGGTCTATGGCACAGATTTGTGAGTAGACGCCGATCATTCCATCCCTTGGGTCCAACATGTCGAAATTCAAGCCATCAATAAGGCAATTAAGAGCCGCCTCGGGGGGGTCCAGGTCCCATTGGTTAACACAATTGACCGGCACATTGGGTCAGATTGAGGATAATCAACCTTGATGAAACTCTCATGCGGAAGGCTGGTCTGGTCTAGGGGGGATATCCATTCTTGTTCAGGAAGCTGAGACCAGGGGATTGGAGGATCTTTCTACTACAGTATCTCCGAGCGGTGTGTTATGGAAACATTTGAAACAATCGAGGGTTTTAAGGGACAGCGTAGATAGTGGGACACAGGGCAAAGAGAGTGGGGATTTGATAATAGTGTAAGGCTTAGCTGTGTGAAGCAAGTACCGTGCCCGAAGTGGGCCACAGAAAGAAAAAAGTCTGTGGATTTTGGGAGGGGCGAAAGGGAAATGGGTGGGCGGAAAATTCTCGGGTTTGTTTCTGAGCCTGGGGAACGGGATTCAAATGCGCTTCTGTTTCGTAGGCACGCGATGTTTTGCATGTGGCAGGGGTATGTGGCAAGGGTTTATATTATGTTATATTAAATGCATCTTGCATCTTCAGGGGGGGCAACTTCAGCCGGGGAATTTGTACAGTGCCGTGGACAGACGGTATTGCGGCAAATATAGGTGGAGAACGGGAGAACTGCGGTTACGAAGCCTCCCAACCCCGCATCGTACATGAGGTTTTCGCTTAGATTTCGAGGAATGAGAGCCTTACAGAGTATTGTTGCAATGAAACCCGAACCTGGTGGCGTGGTAAGCCTCGGCTGCATTGCGGCATGTAACTTTCCGTTCCTGCAGGGGTTACAGTATATACGAGGCTCGCTTCTTTTTAGGTTTCACAACACACAAATGTTCAACACTGATTTGGCAGTCTACTGTCCGTGAAATGCACCATTGAATCTCATAAGCTCTCAGACGCTTCACATGGGCTACAAATTACAGATCCAGAGTCGCAGTGGATCCAGAGGGGAACTATGGGGCTCTGGATCTGCCTATCGCCATCCGTCCGTCGCCTCCCACCCGCACAAGCCCTCGGTCTTGCTACTCTTTTCGATCTCGCGTGGAACAATTGTGTGGAATGATACTGTAGCGTCCAAGGTTCATTGCCTTTGGAATTCCGGGCACCGTGTCTATGCGGAGTGTAATTCGCTCTATTACTGTCCGGATTAGATGGCACCGAAAGTCTATTCGCGACTTGCTCTTGCCTCAATATAGTTCATATGGGGTTTGTTTTTTCATATATTTATGACTTTATGGATCCATGGTCGAGGCCTGTCATCCCTGCACATATTATATCTGCCCCCAGGTCCCTGCCAGAGTGTGATCATTATTTTCTTCCTTTTTGACGACTCACGATGGCTGTATAAGCTGGCACTCTTCTTACCTATATTCACGACTACCTTTCTTTCTTTTATTGAGTCATGGCTGTAGCCATTGCCTGCATACTATAATCTCTTTCACTCTTGATACCCATACATCCTCCGGTCTTTATATCTCCTCGCGCATAAACCGTATAACGTTACCCATCAATCCAGAAACATCATGAAGCTCCCGCCAGCTGCCGTCATGGCCGAATGGCCAACACCGAATTATATTGACCCTCCAACTCGCGGGCATGGGGTAGTCATCGTGAACATTTCGTGCATGTCCCTCGCCTTTATTGTGGTCATGCTCCGTCTATATACTCGGTTCCGGATCACATACAGCGCCGGTATTGACGACCTTCTTATCGTCGCTGGATTGGTCTTTTCTATTGCGATGGTTGTTGTCACATCAATTGCCACCGAACACTATGGCATGAACCGTCATATCTGGGACATCTCGCCTTTGCAACTACCCATCGTACAGAAGTTGAATCTTTGCTTCCAAATCATGTTCTCCATGGCCTCCATTATCACCAAGATCTCCCTGCTGTGGTTCTGCCGGCGACTCCTTGGAAAAGGAAATTTCGTAGTGTACCAATGGGCCTTCATTGGGGCAATGGTCTTTGTTGGACTTTCTGGGGGTCTGTTCACTATTATCAGCATTTTCCAGTGCAAGTAAGTATATTGTCCCCACATTATCATCACCTTGCTAATGTCTCGTCTAGTCCTATTCGCGCATATTGGCAAGTTAGCCCTACGGAACCATACCACTGCATGAACGACGGTGCCATTGTTTTCTCCGCCAGTGTGATCAACATCTTCACCGATTTCCTAGTCACAACTCTACCCATGCCACTGATCTGGAGCTTAAAGCTCCCAGCCCGCCAGCGTCTCGCCGTTATCTCGATCTTCGGCCTCGGTGTCGTGGTCAATGTAGCAGGCTCCGTCCGCACTGTGTACGTTTGGAAGAGTATGGTAGTCGGCTACGACGCAACCTGGCTTGGATGGCCGGTGCTGATAGCCGCAACCGTGGAGATTAGTCTGGGACTGGTAAAGTGCCAACGATTTAAACCTCCTTCAAACATTCCACTAACGATCAACGCCAGATCTGCTCCTCGGCACCGGCCCTCCGCCCACTCATTGCAGCCTTCCTCCCCCGCCTCCTACAATCGACCCGTAACATCGGCTCTTCTTACAACCAAAGATCCCGCTCTCACAAATTGTGGTCCTCAACCGGCCGCTCTCGCAACTCTCGTCTCGTTGCTGACGATCACCGCCAGCCTGGCTACGACAGCGATCGGTTTGAAATCATGCGCACCGTTGAGATGGAGAGCTGGACCGAGTCGCGCCTTGCGAACCATGACAAAATGGGCCATGATTATGATATCACTTCCGAGAACCATCCCCGTGCGCTCAGTCCCACTGATAGTCTGGAGATGAAAAATGGCATGGTGTATACATCGGCTGCTAGTGCTAAATCCTCAGGATCTGGGCGGGATCTCCAGTCTCCCTTTGGAGATAAGCCGCCTCATTGATGGTCCTGCTGTTTATATATTCCTTTTTGTCTGTACAAAAACAAGGTTCATGGGTTTTGCGTCTTGTCTCGTTCTGGTAGATTTCATTGTTGCTCGGCGTGTTTAGACAAAAGTAAGATATATACTTGGCAGTATTTATGTGATTTAGGTATGTACGGAGGCTTTTGAAATTAAAAGCATACAATTGAAACCATTGTAATTCTAGATACATCATAGTATAGACAAATAGAAAGCATCAACATGGCTCTCGAGATGTTCATGTTCGGGTTTGCAAATGTGTGTGCTTGATGAACTCCGTTGCAAAGCTATTCACATGCCCATGGAAAGAAATTCTTGGCTTGGAGGCTGAGCTGGGTGCCCGGCTTGGAGATCCAGCATTCAAGGTGTTGACTCCGCTTACCTAATGAATAAGAGGAACATGCTACATGAAGGACATTTCGCGACGAAGGTGTACATTAGTCTACAGCACGAGATAGCAAACAGTTATATGGACCAAGACAACCTATGTAGCCTTCCACAAAGCATTGACCTGCTTTCTCCGAGTCTAGATTGAACGAAAGGGTCAGCAAATGAATCTAGGATACCAGAGAGGGATTAGAAAAACGTACCATTGGAGCCAAAACGGCGACACCAACACCGAGTGCCACCACAGTAAGAACGAGCTGCAACTTGGAGAAGCTCTTGCCGAGGACATCAAATGCCTGGCTGGGTGTGGCGCGAGTACCATAGATATCGCCACCAAAGGCGAAGATAAGACTCGTACTCTCCAAAAGGGTAGGGCGAGAAAGCACTTCCTTGATGCCGGCAACATCGCGGGCGTGCGAGAGGTACCATTTGCCGTCAAAGTCCAAGTAGGGAGCGTAGCGGAAGAGACCTTCTTCGGCCTCAGCAGCGGTAGCGTCCCGGTCTACAGGGCGGCGGGGGTCGAGGACGGGACGGGGGATTCCAATGATGGAGTTGGAGGAGGGGAGGGTGCAGAGAAGCTGGCGGGTGGTGATGCCCTGGCGAGTTTGAGTGACCGTCATGTGGGAGATGGGCTCGGGGATCATGAAGGCCTGGGAGATGACGTGGGGTAGCGGGGGGCTTTCGATGCTGCTGTGGAGACTGGAGTAGTTGCTGGCGGAGTCGAGAGGGCCGCGGTCGTTGGGGAAGGGCGATTCGTAGAGCTCTGAGATGACGAGCTGGTACCCCTTGGCGGAGGACTCGTTGGAGCCGACATCGCCCCAGAATGAGTAGGCGAACCAGTTCTCAGACATTGCGGATGCGATGGGCTGTGTGGTATCCACGCCTGATTGAGTAGTCGCGTGCAGGACCTTGCCTGAGACTCCGTCCAACAGGTAGAAACTGGCGGTGTTGGTCTTCTCGTTCACTGCGGTGACCAGGGCCAGGTTGGTGTTGAGGTATTTGTACAAAACTGAGCGGTCTCCAAGCACCTTGCCGATGGATGCCACAGGGTCATGGGCAGGGCGAGCAGTGGCATGAATAACCTTTTGTCCCGATGGAGGAACGAACTCCCAGACAGGCGACTTGTTGTCCTTTGCAATCCAGCCGAGGACTCGGCTGTCGGCACTGGTGGTTACCAAGAACCCGTTGACCTCGTCGAATGCAGTGACTGGGGAGCCATCTTCACGGACGCCGACGGTGTTCAACGATGATGTTTCCTGGGAACCGAAGACAGCAATCGAGCGAAGCTTGCTGTCAGATGATGCAGTGCGTGAGATAATATCACCTGTCGAGACATTCAGGGTCACAGAGCTTCCATCGTTAGGGTAGATGGTGGCGGTGCCTGGGGAAGTCAAAATAGCCTTAACATCCCACTGGGATGTTTCCACGGCCTGGACACTCCACAAAACAGCGCCATGGTTACCGGTATCCAAAGCGTATACGCGGCCGTTCTTTGTGGCAACAATAACAGGCGTGGCAAGACCAAAGCTGTCCAGGTTGGTCACCTCATCGCTCAGGATGCTGCTCAAAATACGCCCAGGGATGTGCTTGAGCCAGTCAGGCAGGTACTGCAAGTCACGGACGTGACGCTTCACGCGGTGAACGTACGCTCCGTAAATCGTGTCATGGCCTTCCACCTCCAGCTCATGAGCCAGACCCTCCTGGGCATCAATTTCCGCCCAGGTGGCTGCAACAGCATCGATGAGACCTTCGTTGCGGGTCCATTCGATCTGACCATTCCGGATAAGCTGCCAATCACCATGCTCGCTGAAAACGGCCGACCGAACGGCCACAGACTTTTCTCTGGTAACCAGATCGGAGACAGCGTGCAGAGCAGCGTCAGAAGAGGACTTCGGCAGATTCCAGCGACCAAGAATGCCATGAGAGGCGGAAGACACAACAATAGCTTCGGAGTCCGTAACTCGAGTGAAGTAGACATTAGCGTCAATAACACTCGTCGCGAACACCGACTGTCCAGGCAGGTAAGGGAGCTGGTAAGCCTTGGTCACCTTGGATGACTTCATGTCCACATGGTACACCTCGGCCCAGGCTCCAGCCTCAGTTGCATAGTGAACCAAGAAGTGGGGAAGAGCGTTGAGTTTGTGTGCAGCGTGGACCGTGATCTTTCGGATTTCGGAGCCGGAAGTGTTGTCAATGGCGACCGAGTTGATTTCCTTGGTACCAATGACATTGACCTTCAGGGACTTTTGCGACTTGTCGGTCCAGACGATGATAGGAGAGGCAATGTTCGCGCCGACGAACAGAACGGACTCCGGGGTAGCCACGTCGCTTTCAGAGCTAAGAACCTGCTGGCGAACCTGCTTTCCAGTCACTGGGTCCAACACGGTAACCTTGATCTTGTAGCCCTTCAGCAGAGCCGATTGAAGCGAAATATAGAAGATCTCTGTCGGGGAAGATGACACCTGGAACGGAATGTCACCACTAAAGGAGCAATTCGTTAGCTTGAACAACAGCAGCCAAGCAGAAAACCAACCTGTCCTCCTTATATTCCCACTTCGTGCTTCCAGAATCACCATCCAAGCGTCTCACGATACCGGAGACTTCGCTGCCAACCACCACAATCGTATCACGTACTCCGGGAGTCGCGGTAGCATCCTCAAGCTCCAACAGCTCGAGATCCGCCACCACTCCCTCGGAGAACCGGTTTTCCCAGGCCAACTTTCCATCCTGAGCACTCCACGACGAGATATAGTTACCCGCTGCGCCAACTACAGCGTCGTTGCCGTCCACTCCGCGCAGAAGACCCCCGCGCGGAGGGGAGTCCGCCGACCGCGAGAGGTTCTGGCGCCACAACAGAGCTCCATCGCGGGGATTGATGGCACCAACTAGTAGCTTGTCGGAGATTGTGTATAGAAGGGAGGCATTGGAAGTCGAAGATGGCTTGAGGAAGAAGGTCGAGTCGGGGGAGGGGGAACCGAGCAGAGCGTGATGGAAGTCGATGTGATTAACCTCATCGTTGTAGATGGCTGCCGCGGGCGATAGGCACGCGGCGAAGAAGAGCGCCGCCTGAAGCCGCATTTTGTTGAATCGCTCTTATTGAAGCATTGAGCGAATGGGGGAAGTGGATGGCTTAGGCTGTGTTGTTACAAACTTGGCATCCGGGCGGTGATCGCTTCCCCAATCTATCTACTTCTACGAATATCTATGCCAATAACTCTTTTGATCGAAAATGGAGCGAAAAACACGATCAAGAAGATGCAATGTCTAATTGAATGTCTTCGCTGGTTTCTCAGGGTTTCGATTGCTAACTTTCTGGTCGGATTTCCATTACCGTATCGGCTTAGACACTCGGGTTCACCATGCTTCATACTGCCAGCTAATAAGTCTCTTGCCCTGTCACGGCCCTCGTGGCATGAGCTGGTGAATATGCTGAAACTCTTGGTGTCGTATTATAGCACACGACAGCTGGCAATGTCTCTCTATCTCTGGGATATCACGATAAAAGCTTCGTCTTTCTACACTGTTCGTCTTGGGGCAAACATTACGAGTTAAGTGGCAAAAAAGCATGTTATGCAGAACTATTTCATATCTCAACCAAGTTCAATAATCCTTGACCCCAAATGACAACATATCGGGTCCCGAAACATGCACAAGACATCCAATACCCGTGCTAGTGTTGTTGAAGCTACCACTCTTGCCGATGAATCTGAAGCGACACGATTGTAAGCATATCCGCTATGGTGATATCCGCTATTGTGAGGCATAAATATGAACCACATACCTTGCCTTTGTTTAATAGTTGTCATCACGACGGCTGCTTCCGTAACTGTTCTCGTTGCTGCTGCCATAGGTGTCGTTGTTACGGCCAGAGCTGGAGTCACCGTAGGTGTCATTGCTGCTCTTGTTGCTACCGTAGCTGTCTTGGTCACGGCCAGAGCTGGACTTGCTTCCGTAGCTGTCGTCGTTGCTGCCATAGGTGGTGGTGTTACCACTGCCATAGCTGTTGTCATTGCTGCTGCCGTAGCTATCATTGTTGATACCGGAGCTAGACTTGTTGCCACTGCCATAGCTGTTGTCATTGCTGCTGCCGTAGCTATCATTGTTGCTACCGGAGCTAGACTTGTTGCCACTGCCATAGCTATCGTTGTCACGACCGGAGCTGGACTTGTTTCCGCTATCATAGCTGTCATTGTTGCTGCTTCCATAACTGTCGGCGTTATCACGGCCGGAGCTAGACTTGTTTCCGCTGCCGTAGCTGTCGTTGTTGCTGCTTCCATAGCTGTCATTGTTGTCTCCGTAGCTGGATGAGTTCTTGTTGCTGCCATAGCTGTCGTTGTCACGGCCGGAGCTAGATTTGTTTTCATAGCTGTCATTGTTGCCCCCGTAGCTAGACGAGTCCTTCTTGCTACCGTAGCTGTCGTTGTTGCTGCTTCCATAACTATCGTTGTCACGGCCGGAGCTAGACTTGTTGCCACTTCCGTAGCTGTCATCGTTGCTACCGTAGGAGCTCTTGTTGTTTCCACCGCCGTAGCTATTGTCATTGCTGCTTCCATAGCTATCATTTTTGCGGCTGGAACTAGACTTGTTTCCGCTGTCATAGCTGTCGTTGTCGCCATAGCCGGAGCTCTGGTTGCGGCTACCATAGCTGTCGGAGTCGTTGTTGTAAGACATGATGTAAATGACCACACGAAGATGTGAGTATTTTGGCAGGAGAAGAAAATATAGAAGACTGTGTAGAGATACAAGCCACAGGAAGAGACAAGCACATATTTATACTAGTTCCCACGAATACACCAGCCTCAGCTCCAAACCCCGAAACAGAACAAAATAGAATCAAATATCCCCCCTCATCTTCTAAACCCCTCAATCACAACATTATCCTACCAGGTTAGGCGACCTCGGCGACAGCAAATAGCCAATAATCAGAGCACGGAGAAGCTAACCTCTCAGCCAGACACTAGGTTCTTGCTTATTTGCTCGCTGTCGACCCCTCCATCGAACCTAGATTGAGTGAAATCCACTGTGGCTGTGCTGTATCTCGCCTAGCTGAGCCTTAGTTACTTGCTAGGGAATTACTTTCTGTTTGTGAGCTGTTCGGATCACGCGGGCTGTGCTATGCGGGGCGACTATTTGTTTTGATGCGGCTAGGGTCCCAGCTGAACTTCTCTATTGTTTGTGGCGTTTTTTCTTTTCTACTTCTTTTTTTCTTTAATATGTTTGCCTGGGTGGCAATGTATGGGTCTACCATTTTGTTGGGATTATAGAGTAGCAATTGAATTTTGTGAGATCAGATGAGGCTGGACCTGGGAACCTCGATAGAAAGCAACCTGGAGCACCTCATTTTTGGGAAACATAGCTCCATTCGACGTACCAATCATAATGGAGGATCATGTTGCTTTTTTCCGGGTCTGAGATCTAGATCGATTTACATTGGTATCCGTACACAAATTTATGTTTACGCAAAGCAGTTGAGAACTTGAGAGAAAAAAAAAACTAACCACCCTTTTCCCCTAAGATGCAGATATATGTACAGTTTTGTGGGATCAAAAAAATCAAAATAACACCAGCAATGACAGTCAAAATTGATCTTACACGCCAAAGCAAGCCTTGTTGGCCGACCGGATGGCTTCCTTCTCACCCTCGCTCATAGCATCGGTGATCTCCCAAGGGGTGTTGCCCATACCCATGGCACGCTGACCCTCGGGGCTAAGCGAGGACCAGTCAACGGCACCCTTGAAGCCAGCCTCGCCAGGGCCACCAGCACCAGGGAAATCCCAGGGAGGAGAAAGGCTCTCCGCAGCCTGACGCTGCTTGAGCAGGTACTGGATGTTCATATCGCACAGCGGGGTAGCGGGGATGTACATGACACTGGAGTCCTTAGTACCGCGGTGTTCCTTGTCAACGGAGTGCAGAGCATCGCAGTGCCAAGCAACAAAGTCACCAGGCTGGACCTCCGGCACTGAGACCATAGTCTCCTCGAGATCGAGGTGAGGGTGCGTAACAGGGTTGTACTCCTGGGCGGCCCCGGGTACAGAGCCGGGGAAGGTGGCATCAAGAAGAGGCTTCGAGGTGTCGAGTTCGAAAAATGGACGCAAGATCGTGTAAGCAGTGCTGTGGTTGATCATGGGGCAGACATGCAGCGAGCCCTCGCCGGGCTTAGTGTGAGACATGGACAACCAGGCCTGGAAGAAGCGCAGCATTGAGCAGGCGCCTGCGCCGTTGTACAAGTCCATCTGGGCATTTAGGCGGTGGCGGGCATCCCATGCGTCATATTGCTCCCAGTTGCCTTCTAGGATCTTGGTGTAGACTCGGCTGTATTCTGGGTCTTCCCAGCGTTCGAGGGAACCGCCGTCGATGTGAGGGCCCAGGGTGAATTTTGAGTCGCCTGGGTCGCGGATTCGGAGACGGTCTGCGTAGCTGAGGGGGTTTGTCGTTGAGATTTTGCTGTCGGGGTCGGAAGAGTGCCACAGTTGTTGCATGAAGCGCTGGGTGTTCAGCATGTTGGGGTGGGCGCGGGCTTCGGCCTGCGATGGGGTCCAATATAGTTCATAGACGGCTGGAGAGTCGGCTGGGAAGGCTTTGACGCGTTCCTTGTTGGCGGCCACATAGTCGCGGATCCGCTGCTTGTAGTCTAGGGCTTGGTCCTGAGGGACGACATTGCGGACAACCACGCTGCCTCGGTGGCGGATCTCTTTTAATGTGGCTTCAGATACCTGGCCAGACACAACATCGGAGTAGTTGACAGAGGGAATAATCTGTTCATGTTAGACTTTTCCTGATATAACTTTAGGGATGTCTACATACATCGCTGCCCTGTGCTTTGATCTTTTGTACTTCCGTGTCCAGGCTAGGAAGCAGACGCTCCCAACTCCTTGTCAGGGCATCTTTATTCTTATTAAAGAACTTCTCCTTGAGTTCTGCGAAGCGAGGAGGAAGAGGTTCGGGCTTGTAGTCGGCTCTCAGACTAGGGAAGACTGATGAGATATCACCGGCGGCCTTGGTGGTCTGGGCCGCGGTGGAAGCTGCACGGACGGCAGACTTTGAAAGAAGTTTTGACATCGACATGATTGAAGTTGTTATTTTAAATTTTGCGGGGATCTTGTTGTGATTTATATGTTTCATGGGGAACTGCCTCCATGCATTAGTGGCGGGAGATTCCCTCATTCAGTATTCGTGCCGCAGTCGGGAAGAGGGTGATGTGCCACTGACTTACCGTATTAGGATATCTACCCGACTCCATGACATCAGTCCATGACCTTTTTCACCATTGACCCCAGAGTCAAGTTAGAATGCCACAGAATCCTTGAAGAATTCATTCGGATAAGAATTACTCGGTAAGCCGGCAAGTCCGCTCAGGTTTGCGGGATGGGAGATCTACTGCAGGCCTATAATTAGTGATGTATAAGAATGCGGAGTACAGAGCCTAGGAAGGATTTGGACAGTCTAAGTCCACGCTGAATGCAAATGTATATATATTGTTTTACACTACATTCACTCTATAAGGTTAAATGTTCCCCATAGGTTTTTTCTTGTTTCTTTGTTTAGCCTCCAGCTCCAAAGCAAGAGGATTTCAGCTGGAAGTACTATTACTAGCTATCCGAACCATTGAGAGGTCCCACTAAAGCATGTACAGTAATGTTACTACATGTACGGAGCTCTACCTTAGTATGGTTTCTAATTTCCATCATGACGCAAAGAACTGGAGTTGCATATGATTAGTAGGACTGCTTGCATTCCTATCACATAAGAATCCATAGCATTCGCCTGAATAACCCAATCTGGCAATATTAGCCACGCCGATTTGCATGACAAGTCAGCAAGTTCCACAGTCTCCGAGAAAGGCAGAGGAAGCGAGAACCTCTCGTGCTCCAGCGTCCCACTTGCTGATCTAGAACTGGACTCGGCATACAGACCAGTTGTGAACCGCGCCCACATAAAAGACAACGCAAGTATATGTAGGAAAGAGGGGCCAACTTATCAGATGACCCCAGGTTAAAAGGCAAACTTCCAACTACCCGCCAGAGTACCACTGGACGATACGATAGAAATCTCGGCCATTGCGCCGGCCTCGGTCCACCTTCCAACGGTTAAATGCCCCGCGGGGGTAAATTGGAGACGGTACGCGCTGCAAAGGACCCCGAGCAAGTTCCACTGCCTGTATAAAGGTTTGCAAGCTCCCCCGGAGTGTCGCGGACTGCTGTAACTTGAGTCGTTTAATCCTTAATATCTTGAAATATGGCTCTCTCGGTCAAAGGAAGATCTGCCATTGTAACTGGAGCTGGCTCCGGTATGTCTCTATACTCCGCTCTGAGACTGAACGTCATACAGTAGACGATGTGCTTACTTTCGGTCAGGAATCAACCTCAGCTTTGCGAAATTGCTGGTGGAAAATGGATGCAATGTCCTAATTGCAGACCTAGCCTTGCGCCCTGAAGCGCAAGTGCTGGCTGATAAGCACTCCTCTGGGCCTGCGCGAGTGGTCTTCCAGCAGACCAACGTGGTAGACTGGGTGCAGCTCGAGCGGATGTTCGAGGTTGCAGAGAAAGAGTTTGGCGAGATCGATATTGTTTGCCCGGGCGCTGGAGTCTACGAGCCGGTAAGAGAGCAACAGAGCTACCGCAACAGAGCGGCACAAGTCTAACTACGAACTATACAGCACTGGAGCAACTTCTGGCGCCCACCCGGCGCTGACCCGAGCAAGGACTCGATCGCTGGTGGCCGGTATGCGCTGATAGATATCAATATCACGCACCCAATCCGCACGACACAACTAGCCATCGCCCATTTCCTCAAGAACCGAACTAGCGGCCGCCCGAAGCACATCGTTCACATCTCCAGTATCGCGGGCCAGAACGCAAACCTCGCAGCACCAATTTACTGCGCCACAAAACATGCTATTAACGGCCTGGTCCGAGCGCTGGCTGATCTTGACAAGAAACTGGGGATCAGGGTGACAGCAGTCGCTCCGGGTGTTATCAAGACCCCGCTGTGGACCGATCATCCGGAGAAGATCAAGATGGTTGATGACAGCGTCGACGCGTGGGTGACGCCTGAGGAGGTGGCGACTGTTATGCTGGCGCTCGTTCAGCAGGAAGTGGTGGGCGAGGTTATTGGGGATCGGTCTGGTCGTGGGCCGCAATATCAGGTCGAGGGTGGTACCATCCTAGAGGTGTCGAAGACTGTGCGGGCTGTGAATCAATTTAATGATCCTGGTCCTGGCAACAGGCCTGGAAATACGGCGTCGGATCATCATCATGTGGAGGCGGAGAGTTATCGACTTTTGTCACAGAAGGGTTGGGGATTGTCCAAGTTGTAGATGATATCACGTCATTTATGTAGCCATTGGCAAACATGCGATCACGACAACCATGGCGTTACAACCGAATACACGTACAGATGTAGGGTGTCAAGTGTAGCGGAGTGTCGAGATTTGCGTGGAGAAGGGTCCGCCCCGGTCATGTGCTATCCGCGATAAGGCCCCAACTGGCCTTTTCCTTCTCTTCTCACGTTTCAAGAGCTCTCTATTTTTCTTGATCTCGGCTCCGCTGGCAGTGGCCGCTGTTATGTGTTGCGCACCCTACGAATTCGACAACTGCGTTTCCGCTCATATCTGATCTTCAATCATGGAGGAGGCTGCTATCGGAGTAGGCCAGTCCACCGGATCTGGACTA